TAGATGGAGATAATGTGTTAACACTATTTAAAGTTGACAGAAAATTGTGAAAACTTGACTAAAATAGCTTCTGATATTTTCTGTTTCCGTTTTCATGACATTACACTGATGTAATGCGAGAAAAGCATGGAGAAGAGGCAATCCCGAAATACCCGGAAGTAGATAACGGGACATTTTAGGACACTATTTTATTTTCTGTCATTAAATAAACCTTTCGGCATTCCTAAAAGTGGACTGAAGTTTATTTTGTGTGTTCTGTTGGTACAAAGCCGTATAATAAGCGGGATAACGCATATTACGCAGGTCATTATCGGGCAGACCCGTCCGCGTCGGGGTCCGCTTCGCCTTGACGGTATTTATTTTCCGATAATGACCTGCGTAATATAAGTTATCCTTACATAACGATTATATCACAATATGACGATTATCGATATATAGGTTTGAAATATACCATATGCCAATTTATGGCATAAATAAAAGAAAAATTTTAAATTAAAAAATACACTTTATTTCATGATAAATGGAATGGAGATGCGATATATTAAGCATTGATACTAATAATAGAATTTTTTCTTTTTTTATCGATTTCAAAATCGATACTTGGCAAATGCATATCGCTAATCGATCGCAGGATAAAGTACCACAATATATCGTTATATCAAAATATCGTCACACTCCAATTATAAAATAAAATAAAAATATGCCAGGCCATATGCCATGTCGACTTATAGAGAGTTAAACTATTTGTGATCCCAAAAGAGGCAGCGTGAGCGTGTGTTTTTTGTGTGTCAGAAGTGATGCATCGCAGGCTTCATACTACAACATGGTCTGAAAGCTGTATACAGACCGCAAGGATTTCATAATAAAAGATCATGTGGCTTCTGCCAGAGATGAGCCGCAGAGCTAAGCAGTTTCAGCAGCTGAACATGGACACTCATCGTCTTGAGCCAAAAGGAGAAACTTCTGAAGATGACACGGCTTGTTGCTACAAAATTAATTTAGTAAAACACCTCTCCAACTGCTCTCTGCACTAAGAGTAGATATGAAACTTCTGAAACATTAACCTCGGACAGGTCATCTGTGCTGTCGGAGCCTGATGTTGATGTCCAGTCCTACTTATATGCATTTCTCTGACTCAGTACTCATGCACATCTGATTGTCACCACTATATTGTGACCTAGATTATTCCAGGTCCATACTGACAGAATTTATGCAGAATTCCACAGGATAATAGGATTTGTGGACACATGCATTGGAGAAGCTCTACTGATATGTTGATTCACCTCTGTATGCACTAATAATACATGTTTTCAGCCATTCACATCAGAGTATAGCATTGAATGCATTTCATTAACATGTAAATCAGCAAAATGCTTTTAACCGCTGACTTAATGACCTAATAATAATGTTGTTTTAAATAAGTCATTGACAGCTGAGCATGGCCAACCCGGGCATCATTTATCAACGTACAGTCAATGAACTCCTGACAGTGGAGTTTTGTGGGGAAAAGGAGGAACGGATAATGAGAGGTAAAGACGCAGGATCAGTCTCATGGATGGGGAGAGTTTATGTGTGCATTTATAAGGGCAGAAGGTGCGATGGATGTGTGCAGGATAAATGTGTTTACTTGGCAGTGTAAGGCTTCTTCGTCTGTCCTGGCCACTTTGTTTTCAGTTTTTCTTCATTCATCTTTCTTATCTATTGCTCGCCACATTGTATTTTCTGTATTGCACTGAAGGCATTTGTGATATAATATTGGTGGGTATGGGAACTTTGTTGGCCGACTCTTCTTTCTTTAGTTGTTTAGAACCTTAAAGTGAACATTCGACCAAAACAAAGTGAAGCTCGAATTATGATCTTCATTGTGATGGCCTGTTACACATTGTGTTGTCCGAGTAAAATACTCAGAAAAGTCTTTCAATTCACTTAGTTTGTCATTATATAATTATCATAAATTTCATAAAAACCTCTTGCCAGTATGATTATGTCAAAAGTGTATACAACCAGATAGAGTGGAGCCAAAGGTTGGAAAAATAATTATTTGTCATGTAATCAACTGACTTGTTATAGCCTTCACATGTATGTTTGATATAAATGGGGATGCAATGTTAAATACTACAAATGTCTCCCTGTTTCTGCTTGTTTCCTCTACCACCAAAAATATGTACAATGGATCTGGCAGGTGCCACCTTGTATGGCGACCCCACTCCCATCACTGTATGGAGTGGGAGGAAAAAGGCCCACAAGTTCTTTAATCTTAGTGAGACTGCAGCTCACAATTACTTTGATGATTATTCTACTATATGTTTTTCATCTAAAACATTGAATGTACATTTTTCCTTTGCAGTTCTGCATAATTATGACTTTGTTTGAGTCATAAAACAACACTCAGAGTTGGGCTTGTTTGATGTCTATATTTGTAAAAATGAGTATTATTATAATTAAATATCAAATAGCACATTCTATTGTTACAAAAACATCTGGGACACTTCAAACCAGTGCTTGCTTTTGAAAATTAAAAGCAAGGTAACTGACATCCACTCAATTCAATTGAATTCATGAATTGCAGCAACTCTGCTATTTACAATTGCGCAGGTCAGAACAGTTCTTTCAGAATTGTAATTAATCATTTTGAGAAGAGCCCTTTTGCCTCACCTTAAATCACTTGAATAATATTTCACATTGTCCTAGCTGGACAGTGCACAGTGGAGTACAATGCTGGTGTGGTGGAATTATCCAGAGGTCAGGCCTTGATGAGGGCAGAGACTGTGGGCGTGCCAGGGCATGGAGGATGAGTCTGCACAAACTCTGTGTCTCCACTGTCTGTGCCCTTGAGTACCCTCTGTGTACCCTCAGCTCCACTGCTGCTAATGCCGGGTGTCAAACGCCTTGTTGAGCAGGACATAGGCTTCCCACACTAACTCTGATAACATGCTGTAGTGTGACCCAGCTCAGTTTGTGTACAATACACTATTCCTCATGGTTTTCAATGTGTGTGTGACATACTTACATACTTTTTACACATGTTTTATTTTTAATACAATCCTTTCCATGTATATCTCAAAGAAAACTGTCCTATATTATGATTGAAAACCATGATTGTGAGGTCTACACATTTGAAATGTCAGCGTTGCAGTGCATACATAGCATCACAAGTCAATACGATGTCCAAATTTAGGCGAACACTGCAAGAAGAGTCAGACCTACTGACCACTGGAAATGCTGACTTGTCTTACTTCAAATGTTTGGTGACAGAATTCTCTTTCATCTTTTAGCTCATCCCCTGGCTGTGCACAATATGAGGATGAATCAGCCAGCCCTTCTCACATTGACTTTCTCTACATTTTACATTTTTTATTGAAACCTACATTTTTATTCTATTTTGATGAAAAATTGTGACTCCTACATGTGCTGGACTCACGGGGAGCGGTATTTTCATGTTCTGCGAGTCTTAAAAGTATTAAAGGTGAAACAATGCATTTTCCACAGGGACACTAGTTTTATTTCATTTCAATCCTCTCATCTCTTTCATCTGGTGTTATTTTGGTCCTCTTTCTTTCTCACCTTATCAACGACCCACAGAGCCATTTGCTGCCATTTCATTTTCACCAAAATCAAAAACACTAGGGTTAGGGTTAGAATTAGAGGATTTTTTTGTATTGATTGAAAAGCAAAGTCATCTTAATAATCTTCTTTACCCAAAAAGGCACATAAACGACACAAAGTACTTTCTTAGCTTAAAGTTAAACAAAAATCTAATATTAAAATCTCTGGACGCCTCAGATATCTCTTCCTTCTTCCCTCTTTATCTTCTCAGCTGTACCTCGCCACATGTGTCTTTTTTGCTCAATTTCGCTGATGTTTAAACACCCATTTGCAAGCCATTATTAAAATGATGGGAATCACGGGCCATAGGTGTTCGTGGAGTGGAGGTGAGAGGTGTGCCGTGTGTGCCCGGATCACCTTGAGAATTCAATTACACCCGAGCTGCGCGCTGTTAAAAAAGAGCGTGCACACACACATTTTCACGCGCGCGCCGGTGTCCTGTCTTGTATTGCCGAGTCGGAGAGCAGAGAAATTTTGCCCGCTGGGATCGATCTCCGGACGGGTGTTATTGGATTTCTCAGATGTGTTCCAACGCTCTTAAAGGTCACTGCTAGAATGAATGCCAGCGATGCTACACCACCAAACAGGTCTATCGCTACGCGGGTGTGTGTCCGAGTGTGCGCATGGATATAAATAGATAAATATAATAGTGTGAGAAGCAGATGGCAAAGATAAAAAATATATTTTCTAGGAAAAAAACACATTCCTATAATTCATCTAAAACTTAATGCTGGGGTACCTACAAAATCGCAAAAACTGCACTATAATAAAACTAGTTACTAGCTCCAAAACAGTTTGGTTATATTACTAGATTTTACTCATCCATAGCCACTGTCACATTTTTAGCTCAGCTTTCTCAGAATGGGAAGTGGAGGGAGGGCCTTTCTCACTCAAATGGTCAAATGGTGGCTTACAGCTCTCTTTCTTACAAGCATGTACACAATTACATTTTTAATAATCTGACTTATTCTAAACGTTTTATTATTTCAAGGATCTTTTTTTGCTCTACAAAAAAGCACCTCCATGTAATTAATACACAATATGAGTGCAATGACTACTGTTCTGTCAGAAATCCCCACTCTAGAAAGTATAGAGGCTTATTATAGAAGCGCCATTGTGTATTGTCTTTGCTTCAAGTCGACCCAATGTCATGTGCTGAAGAGAAATTAATCTCTTTCATTAATTTGATTGATTGCCTAGCGGAAATTTCATTGCAGTGGCTTAAATTACGGCAAATGCATAGATTATTACCCAGTATGATGATGAGGAGTACTCACTCAACTCATTACCAATAATAGCATACCAATGTTTGTGTAAAATATTTGAATGTGGAAGAAAGGGAAAGCAAAACAACCAATACACATGATTGTCTTTGTATGGTTCGTGTAACTCACCGGGTTGTTCAAGCCGTTGTGATTGCGTGAATATGGATAGAAGGCACCAAGCTGCATCCAGCGCAGGCACAGCTCATATTCTGAGGGGTTGAAGAATCCACAGATGTCTGCTCCAGTCTGAAACGCAGTGTGTGTGAAGACAAGATTTACAAGCAGGGGGATAAGTGAGAGGAAGACCCACACCCAGGCTCATGGCAGGGAATGATATTCTGATTGTATCACACGCTGTCCTTTGATCAAAAGGGGATGACAAATAAAAATAACATCACAAAGGCTGTTGTAATCTACTTAAAAAGGACAAGGTCACGTCAATAAGATTATGGCTGTTCAAACTCAAGATCAGTGAATGATACTTACATAAGGGATGCCAAATAGACTGAACTCCATCATGCCTACAGAAACAGAGTGTTGCAGGCATAAGGCTTTGTCACAGACCGTGTGGCCCATTCTTCTGTATTATTACATCATACACAAACAAACTCTGAAAGATAACTGCATGACTAGTACCTATGATGGATTTATAGAGCTGGTCCCAGCTGGCAAAGTTGTCCCCTAGCCAGTGCCCAGCCCACTGGCCGCTGGATGGGTAGGTGGAGCGGGTGACCACGATGCCTCTTTTCTTAGTTGCAACATGCAGGGCACTGTACAAATAAAGTGCATGGAGTAATTTGTCTTTGCCGTCACACAGATATCTCTGTTTCCTTTGGCCATACACAGCAAAACTCTAAACGGCTAAACATTTTCTCAATGAAACTGTTGCTTCAAGTCTGGGCTCTGAGCCCAGTGTCTCCTGGCCCTTCTGTGGCTAATTCTGCAATCTGGCAGTGATAAGAGGACAATCTGACCACTCGGACCAATACAAGTGCACTAGTGATTATGACCACAGACTGTCTTTCTGTGGATGAAGGTAATTTTCGGCTCTATGCTATGCTAGACATATGGAGAAATATTACAGGCTGGAGAAGTGCTCCTAAGATCCAAACAGTGATGAAGGCCCTGCTGTGAATAGCAGTGTTCACACACCAGTCTGACAGCAGGAGGTGCAAACAAATGGAAACCATTGCAGCATATTGATTTATTTGAATATTTGAAAGCCATGAGCCTCTGTATCATTAATAAATGAACTAGCTAAAGCAACAAAGAAGTAAACCTACTCAAAGGTAGGTTTGGTGTGGGACCAGCCATAGAGGTTGTGCACATCGTAATGCCGTACTCTTTTCCCGCTGGGGAGGATCTGCTCACTGTTCATACACAGTGTCTTGTGGTTCAGACCCATATGTTTAGACTCCAGAGCTAGGGGAAAGGCCAAGAAGGGGTTCAACATAAATATTTTAGACAAATATTTTTAACCAGGAAAATTACGAGTTTTGTCTCACGTGGCATGTATGGAGGGTCCTCCAGGAGGGGGTTACCAAGGCAGTTTTCTCCAACTGTGCCATGAACAAAACTGGCAGGCTCATTCATGTCCTGTAAAGGAAAGGAGTAACATTTGAATGAAAAAAACAATATGGGAGACTCTTGTTGTTACTCACAATCCAGATTCCGTCAAACTTCATAACGTTATTGTAAAAATCCACAATTTCTTTTTTCCACCACTCAGCTGTTGAAGTGCGGAAGAAGTCCGGGAATGCTGCATAGGCTCTGTATAACTAAAAATACATATATTATATTATATTATATTATATCATATTATATCATCATTTATTATAAATCATGTTAATCACGACATGTTAATCTTCAAATACATTATAGGGATGTTATCAATTTACCCTAACTTGAGTGTCCCAGTCCAAACTGTTATCGACAGTCACATTGGGTATATCTGGCCACACCTGCAGAAGCAGAATTACAAAGATTTTTGAAAACACGATTCATTTCACAGACCTACAACTTTACATTACCTACAGCAAGTTTCTCAAGTTGTTGCTGGCCATGGTGGTGAACATGTTCTCACTTGTCATGTTGACTGCCCATTCATATTTAAAGTTCAAATTTGATTTTGTTTTAGATCTAATGTAACAATATCCACTTATGCATTTTACCAACTTTCTCCACATACTGTTTGGTTCCATTGGCAAATTGAAAGGAAGATGGAATTTGAAGGTGGTAATTTCAAGATCTTGTAAACTTTAAACATTTTATGGTACTATTTATCACCCCCCTGGACTGCCATCTTAACGTGGTGGGGGAGTTTGAGTATGCAGATGATCCTGGGAGCTATGTTTTCTGGGGCTTCAGGCCCCTGGTAGGGTCTCCCATGGTAGACAGGTCTCAGCCCGGGCTGTTGCAGAGGCAAAAACCCGGGACTGGGAGGAGTTTGGAGAGTCCATGGAGCATGACTATCGGTCAGCCTCAAAGAGATTCTGGCAAACCGTACAGCGCCTCCTGAAGCAGTTGTTAGCCAGCACTGTGTACGGTGCAGGTGGAGAGCTGCTGACCTTGACTGGGGATATTGTCGGGCGGTGGAAGGAATACTTCGAGGTTCTCCTCATTCCCCCCGTCACGTCCTCCGTCCCAGGGGCGGATACTTCGATCTCCCTGGCTGAGGTCACCAAGTTGGTTGGCAGCCTCGATCGGGGGCGGTGCCAATGGAGTGGCAGACCAAGGGCTGGTGGTCTATTTCTACAAGAAGGGGGACCAGAGGGTGTGTTCCAATTATTGTGGGGTCACACTCCTCAGCCTCCCCGGTAAGGTCTACTCCAAGGTACTGGAGAGGAGACTAGGACCGATTCTTGAATCTCGGATTCAGGAGGAGCAGTGGAACACTGGACCAGCTCTATACTCTCTATCTGATACTCGAGGGTTCATGGGAGTTCGCCCAATATGTCCACATTTGCTTTGTAGATTTGGAGAAGGCGTTTGACCGTGTTCTCCGGGGTGTCCTTTGGGGGGGTTCACCAGGAGTCCCGGATCCTCTGCTGAGAGCCGTCCGGTCCCTGTATGACCGGAGCCAGAGATGCGTTCACATTGCAGGCAGTAAGTCAGACCTGTTCCCGGTGCATGTTGGCCTCTGCCAAGGCTGCCCTTTGTCACCGGTTCTGTCCACTGTTTTTATGGACATCCTTTCTAGGGGGTCCGGTTCGGAGACCACAGGATTTTATCTCTGTTTGCGGACGATGTTGTCTTGTTGGCTCCAACAAACCAGGACCTGCAACGTGCACTAGGGCGGTTTGCAGCCGAGTGTGAAGCGGCTGGGATGAGAATCAGCACCTCCAAATCTGAGGCCATGGTCCTCGACCGGAAAAAAAGGTTCTTTGCTCTCTCCAGGTGGGTGGAGTGGTCTTTCCTCAAGTGGAGGAGTTCAAGTATCTCGGGGTCTTGTTCACGAGTGAGGGAAGGATGTAGCGTGATGCGGACGCTGTATCGGACCGTTGTGGAAAGAGGGAGCTGAGCTGAAAGACAAAGCTCTCGCTTTACCGGTCAATCTTCGTTCCCTCCCTCACCTATGGTCATGAGCTTTGGGTAATGACCGAAAGGACAAGATTGTGGATACAAGCGGTCGAAATGAGCTTCCTCTGCAGAGTGGCCGGGCGCTCCATTAGAGATAGGGTGAGGAGCTCAGTCACTCGGAGTAGAGCCGCTGCTTCTCCACGTCGAGAGGAACCAGTTGAGGTGGCTCGGGCATCTGTTCAGAAGGAGGAAGACCCAGGACTATAGTCTCTCAGCTGGCCTGAGAACGCCTTGGGGTCCCCCCGGACAAGCTGGAGGAAGTGTGTATGGATAGAGAAGTCTGGGCGTCTCTGTTTAGACTGCTGCCCCCGCGACCCGGCAACGGATGAAGCGGAAGAAAATTGTACTATTCATTTTGACGTTTCACCTCCATCATGGACAACACCTCCCACCCACTGCACAGGACTGTTGAGGAGCTGAGGAGCTCCTTCAGTGGAAGACTGAGGCACCCTCAGTGCAAGGAGTGCAATTGCAGGGCCTTCATCCCTGCCGCTGTCGGACTGTACAATAAGTCACTTTAAGACACACTTTAAGACTATCTATCTGAGTGATTCTATCCATGCCAAATGTGACATGCAAATGTCTCCACTCTGAGATGAATAAAGTTTATCTTATCTTATTTCATGTTTTAGAATGTGAAACAATCTCTTTAGTCGAGAATACATGTTTTTTTTTTCAATCATAAAAATTACAATCTGAAACCACTGCCATGTGATTTCAAACAATGTAATTTCACCTGAGGACTGAAACAGGAGCTTAAAGACAAAAGGGGCAGACCTACATATTTGTGCCAGAAGTTTGTGATAATTGCATGGATGGATCTAACTTCAGGTCTGTTAGGGAAACAATTATGTAACATGAAGAAAAGCTCAAAAGATTTTGCATAATAGTTTTGCTTTAAAACGTCTCCACTAAGCGACAAACTAAGGTTTTGTGTTTTACCTTCAGTCAAATATAAGATGTTGGGACAAAACAGTTAAAACCTTCTCACCTTTCCCCATACAATATCATTACTGATGTTTTGCGGCCACTTGATAAAAACATCTTGCTTTAATCCATCCGTCCATGCAGGGTAGGGCTGAGTTTCGTTGCCAGAGATGGCTGGATCCTGGGGTTAGTTAATTAGTTAGTTAATTTTATAGTGTGAATAGTAAAATTTATCTGGTGTTGTTCTCACCAGAATAAAGATGAACCTCATGCCCTCCGCTCTCATTGAATCGACTAAGGCAGGAAGTCCTTTGAAATTCTCTTTATCCAAGAGAAAGTTCAACTGACGCTCCATGTAGTCAATGTCTCCGTACTGCACATCCTAAAACACAGAAAAAGATTGAAATAACGTTATAATACAATAATAGATTTGGACACAAGCAACATGCCCATTGTCATAAATGACAACGTTTAATTTGTTTCTCTCTTTTACAACTATGTTTTAAAATGTATAAAAAAAAAAAATATTGATGAGATTGGATTAAGACCTTTTGTCCCACAGTGGGGACATTTCAGTGTCACATCACGGTTTACAGAATGAGGAGCACACAACACTAGATAAGTGAAAATTAAGTAAAGGACAATGTATTACTTTATACAATATAATACAATCTATATCTTATTATAATTAAGTCATGTTTTTTGGGTTCGGAGTCAGGAAGAATTTGCCTACATGAAATTTGAAACTGATTTAAACTGACGCCGACATCCTGATATACAGTATACAGTATGTTTCAAGGATTTTATTTGTGACCGGCAAGGTGAGATGTCTTTTAACCGTTTTTTCTCTTTTTTAGATGTAAATTATGAATTATCAGATTCAGATTCAGTTATTTGCCATTTGCAGTAAAACCACATTGGAAAAACTGTGCAAGACTACCCCAGTGTGCACCTGACGACACACACCAGAGCTCTTGCCACCAATTATCTGTGAGGAATAAAGTTATGGACAAAAATGTGGTTATAAAACAATTCCATGCTTAAAAGTTGCATTAAATAACTGACTTGAATGTGTATTACATGTACTGTATATTCATTCATTCATTTTCTACCCCATTTCTGGCATGTTTATTTGTGAGGCTCAGTTCATACACAAGGCATTAAAACAAAAACAAAAATAAACACAGTACATTTAAAAAAGAGTGAATGGAAGTCAAAAACGCCTGTGCACTTACATAGGGTATCCCAGCATCTTTCATGTCAGTGTACAGGTCCTTGATCTCTGTGTCATTGACATAACCGTAGCGGCAAAGCTGGAACCCCAGAGACCAATAGGCAGGTAACACAGGCCGTCCAATCAGCTGTTAAGAAGAAAACCAAACAAGGAAGTGAGGAGAGAAAGTGCTTTGGCGGCGAAATGGGCTGCCTTCAGTGAAGTGTTTGTTTGATTCGCTTTTTTCTCCTTTTTTGCAGCGAGTGTGTTTAGATTGGCTAAATGAGACCGAGCAATGAAGCAAGGAACTCCCAGCTGCTGCAGTCCATCAACGGCAGCCCTTGGCCAGACACAAAAACGCACACACTGGCACTCACACAGAGCTCTGTGTTAAAAAAAAAAAAAATAGAGCTTACCGCAGTGTACTCCTGCACCACCATCTCCGGAGTAGGGCCCAGGACCATGTAGAAGTCCAGGATGCCCCCCAGGGTTCGGTAGGTTAATGAGGGCGTGGGTTGGAACGTCACGTCTAGACACACAGAATGCGAATGAAAGATTAGTCATTTCAGGTTTATACAAAAGTGGAGTGACACAGCGTTTTAACAAAGTGGAGAGAGTGCTCATGCAGTTTTGAAACTGTAATTGGTGAAAAGGTATGTGAAATGAAAGGATTTAATCACAGCTTGTTTGAATGTCTTGCAGGAATTTCTAAAATGGTACAAATAACATATGAGACTTTGAAGTCATTTAGATTATAGCCATGATTCAGGGGGGTGACTTTGGGTTCAAGTAATCTGATATAAAAAATAACGGGGTATGGAAGATGAGATTTTATGTAAACGTATACAGAAGATTTAGTTTTTTTGTATGCATTTTTATAGGTCCATTTACTGTATTTGAAAGGGGACAATTCAATTAAACAAAAGACATGATTACATATGAGTAAGAAAGCCGAAGTTGGCCAATACGCTTTTTTCATCTGTAGTAAATAAAGAGGAATAAGTACACAGACTTCGGTAAATACGTTAAAGCATATACAAAGTAGGGAAAAAAGTAACAGCAACGGTGAAACAAGGTTTATTTTGGCGGGTTAAGAGTGAAGAGTAACCAAGTTACATGTGAACAAAAATGTGAGGTTTTTTTTGGTAAACCCCCTTGCCTTTATATATAGTATAAAAGCTACTATATGTTCGCTTGTTTTTTTTGTTTGGTAACGTGTAAAAGTAATCTTAACTAAACAGTCTACGCAGTCACTTGAATAGCTTTAACCTTGATGCTAAACCTATTTCCTTAAATGAGACGTAATTTTGCAATCATGAGTACTGTTCATTGAATGATGTCATTTACACCAACCTTGTTGAACATTGAAGAGAAAGCACTGTCCCCTAGGCCAGTGATTCAACATGTACAGTACAGACTAAAAGTTTGGACACACTTTCTCATTCAATGAGTTTCCTTTCTTTTCATGACAATTGACTGTAGATTCACACCCAGGCTTTGTAAGGGCTGTTTGACCAAGAAGGAGAGTGGTGGGGTGCTGGGCCAGATGACCTGGCCTCCACAGTCACCGGACCTGAACCCAATCCAGATGGTTTTGGGGTGAGCTGGACCATAGAGTTAAGGCAAAAGGGCCAACAAGTGCAAAGCATCTCTGGGAACTTCTTCAAGACTGTTGGAAGACCATTTCAGGTCTTGAAGCTCATCAAGATAATGCCAAGAGTGTGTGAAGCAGTAAGTAGCAAAATGTCCTACTTTGAAAAACTTAGATTATAATACATATTTTCAGTTGTTTTATTTATTTTTTGTATGTACATAATTCCACATGTGCGTTAATTCATTGTTGTGATGCCTTCAGCGTGAATCTACAAAAAAACAAAAACTCTTTGAATGAGAAGGTGTGTCCAAACTTTCGGTCTGTACTGTACAGAGGATATAAATTTAGTTTATCCAATATTTTTATTTTTTATTTATTCATAACAAATAACCAATCTGTACATGCACATAGTGAAGTAAAACCTTGTCCATGATCATTTCTTATTGGGCTAGCTGAGTCTACCTTCTATGAGTGAACCCAACAAACATTAGTAATGGAGAAAAAATACATCATATGTACAATAAAAGACAGTCAATATTTGAATCATCACCACGTCTCAGTCATTTAGCATGTTCAACGTCATGTTTGATTTCTCACCCATGGCGTTGCTGTTGAAGAGCAGCACACCGTGAGCATCGGCTGTGTTTTCCAGGCCCATGTGGAAGGGGTGTACTCCGTAACAGTTCATCTTGTACTGCAGCAGAGGGGAGAGTAGCTCAGGTGAACAATGGATGGACAATATTCGTATAAATATATATAGGTGGTGTATTTCATGATTTGTACTCGTGTAGGTGGTGCTCCATCTAGTTTTGTCAGGTTTGTTTTGTAGCCGACAGAAAGTTTGTCTTTGTGAACATGGGCAGGATGGCAAAGTGCGACCAAACTTCAGATGTCCAAAGTTGAAAAGCTACAATTATGGAATACTATTCTTTATAATACTTATATACGTATAAATGGTATACAATGTTTTAAGAATGTATTTTTTCTTATTCAAAAATGCAATGTTATACATTTTGCACTCAAACCACATCTGCTAAAGTAAAGATTGTTTTATTATTCATTTTTAATTAATTCATTATTAAAATTCTTTATGTTGTCATATATTTCCATATATGGCTCTAATGTAGCTGTGGTGTGTGTCAATCAAAATTGTCTTCTGAAAGGTAAAATAAGTCTTGATAGGTGCCATTATAAAAATATTAGTATCTAAAATAGCTTGGTTCAATCACATGCACACATGTTTGGCCTCTGTCACGGCCCCTTTCAGACAGGGAGGACCCAGTTATTGGGCACACCTGGGTAACTCATTCCTATCCCTCTGCGCCGCTCCCTCCAGGTACTGGATCATTATTTCTTTGTTTGTCATTTTGTTAAGATTAGTTTTGGTTTCACACTCAGACATATATACACATACAGTGGTTTTCATTCACTGACTTACACACACTGCACACATCCCATTGCTCACATACTCACACCTCATTCTTTATTTGTATCCATGTTTTGTAGTTGTTATTTAAAGATTTCATTTATTCATTTTCATTCCCTTAATCCATTTCTGGGTCGGGGTGGCAGTCAGAGCGGCATCCAGTACACATAGCACCAGCCCCTCACTGTTTCACTCCATCTGGCTGAAAACTACTCGACACACCATTTTAACACCATTTTTCCGGACTGTCCATGTAATACTCTTTTACCCCGGTCTTCTGTCCTGCCCTCCCTCCCCCTCTCTCCTCCTCACCCGCTGATCTCCGCCAGGGCCCGTAAAATTTGTCTGAACCCCATGGAGCCGCTCCTGACAGCTCAGCAATTAGGGGCCCATAGTGCTGACGCTGGCGGGAAGGCGGCCTTGACACGCATTGGAGAAAACATGATGACACTCCATATAACTGCTGCTCATATCAACGCCACCGCCGCATCAAAGTGACACGGACATGACGCTTACATCCAGGTTATTTACAAGTCACCTCGGCAAGCCCCGGGAGAGACCGATCCGAGCGGGATAAGCCTGTGTAGGTGTTTGAGGGCGCTGAGAGTTTGGAGGTGGAACAAGAACAACTGATTACAGGAACATGTGCAGATAGAAGGATCAAATAATGTTGATTATACTTTTAACACTAGAACTTCCAGAATTGTGAAACTACTCAAACTCCCGGAGTTTCTGAAAAAGCTCTTTTTTTCAAATGTTTTTACCGCAAATGTAACTTAAAATACAGCAACACAGTTTGTTGAAAAGCCAAATGCAAACTGCTGGCAGGTAAACTGAGTGGCTATGGTAACTTTAGCACCTGCTCTTTGGTGGAAAAAACAAACTGGCTCAGAACCAACGCTACTTTTGAATTCTAGCATAGCCGGTAAATTGAGAGCGTTGCCTTTCGGCTCTGCTCCCTCTTCACCACGACAGTTTGATGCTCCATCCTTCCTTAACTTGTGAACAAGACACCAAGAAAGGACCTCTCCTCCTTCTAGTAGATCATTGTAATTTTCAGACATGACAAAGCAGACGCATACTAAGGTCTGTACTCCTATTAAGGTCTGGAACATGCTTAATTCTCATGATATTATAGTTATTTGCAATCATTTGGACTAAGATGTTTATTGTGACACGACATCTCATAGTGGATGGTGGTGGTACTTACGCCCGGAGGCTGATCCTTGGAGAACATGCCCCAGGTGTGGTAGTGCAGATTGTGCCTGTACGTAGGGTGTTCTGTCTCCCCAAAGCCATAGACGTACTCTGAAGACAGCCTGGTGGTAACCTGGATGAACATGTCCGAGAAGGTGAACCCCGGCACCGACGAGTCCCAGCTATAACACAACATATGAATATCAAGCCGCTGTAGCTGGTTTTATGACAAGATACATGTTAAAATATCTTCCCATGCGCTACTTCTTCCTCAGGCATAAGATTCATGTGGTAAGGCAGTGCAAGGCAAGGGAAGGTTAATTGATTGGCACATTTTCATACACAAGGCAACTCAACGGCTAAACAAAACAGTAAAATAAACATTAAAATCACACAAGGCAATAAAATCATTAATAATTACTGAAAATAGAATCTCTTAGTTGTATTCACAGCTAAACAGGACTGTATTTATGTAACCTGAATTTGAACATTGTCAGAGTAGAAGCATGTCTCACATTTTCAGTAAGACTGTTCCAAATTTTAGCTGTATACATCTGAAAGGCTAACTGCTGACTCAATCCACCAACATGTCACAGATGTACTTTGGTGTGAGGCTATGGAGAGACTTGTAGACAAGCAGAGCTACTTTAGGGTATTCTCTGAGCCAACGAGACCTGATAACAGGACTAATGTGATCATAGTTCCTGGTTCTAGTTAGGACTCGAGCTGCAGCGTTTTGTATTTACTGCAACCATAGTCCAATCTACTACATTTCTGATTCTGGCAATGTCTTTTAGATGGTAAAAAGCTGCAGATGTTACTATGATGTGGCTGATGTTGGCTTTTTCATACACAATAGTGATAGAAGTCAATCAGGAGTCACGCAGTGACTCAGATTGCTCTTAGCATGCAATATTTCAAATTTCTTATTTAGAAAAATACATTGCGTAGCCAAGCCATTAACACCAACCAGCCCAGGGACTACACATGGAAATGAGCTATTTTGCTGTCATATTTCCTTTCAATGGGCCTCATTTATGAAACCTGCGTACGGCCAAATCAGGGTGTAAAAGAGGCGTACGCAAAAAATGTTACACTTTCCGGCATTTATCAATCTGGGGCCGTATTCCTAAAGATTCTTGCTAAAAGTGCTAAAAGTTGCTCCTACTGTAATGGCCAAATTCTAAGAATTTTCTTAGAATCTTGACCTACTCTTAGAATTTCCCCTAAAAGTGAGGAGTAGATCCTAGTTAAGAAAAAAGATATTCCTAAAGAATCCTAGCTCTTAAGAGAGCTAGGAGAGTAGAGGGGAGGACTTTTAGCGGCTTTCCCTAAGAGGATAAAATGGTGGCAGTAGAGGCAGGAAGAATATTCTATACACTGGATGACAGTTAATCAGTGAAACACTGCAGATTGAGTCATACAGGAATCATGTTTGTGGTATATTTAAAAGTCAATCATGTGACCAGCTTCTTATTGGCTGGTCAGCAATAACACCTCATCCATTTTACCCTTGTTACACGAAAGTGGGTAGAAATGGTAAAAGTTGAAAGAGAAAATATGACCAGCATGGTAATTAATAAAAGCAAGTAAATATAACTATTATTGTGTTAATACTGTGCAAGTGGGCCCACATTTTCACGCATTCAGTATGAATGAATGAATGAATGAATACTATTATTTCGAGCCATGGAAAACAAGAAAAAATGACAACAACAAACAAAACAACAACAGAATAGAAAAAGTGCACATACACAGTTTTGTTTAATTAACAAAAATCCAGCTCAAAAAGAAGTGGGAAGAAGTTAAGACTTTTAAAATCCCACCCTCTATTAATCATTCTAAATTAACTTAACTTAAATGATGTGGTTGCTACAGCTTAGTTTATTTCGTGGAATATTAACAGTTATGCAACAGTGACATTTACAATAACATGCTCTTGATGTGTACAGTGTAAGTATATTATGTTTATATTAATATTGTTTCCTTAATTCCTTTTACGTCTTTCAGTATCACAGCCTTTACTAATCCTAATGCTACCTGCATTTTGAATGTACTGCAGCTGTTTTACAGCCTGTTTGGAGAGACCTGTGAGCAGGCCATTGCAGTAGTCTAACCTACTGAAGACAAACGCATGGATAAGAATTTCCAAGTCTGCTTTAGACACTATGTTTTTGATCCTGGCAATGTTTTTTAGGTGGTAAAAAGCTGTTGATGTTACTGATTTGATGTGGCTATTAAAATTTAAGTCTGAGTCCAGTATTACCCCTAGATTCCTGACCTTGTTAGAAGGTGTTAGGGAGAGAGACTGTAGGTGACAGATGACGCTCTCTCTTTGTTTCTGGGGACCACAGAATATACGCCAAGTCAGTAGGTGGTGTAAATGTGTACGCTCATTTCAATCTTCATAACAGATTACAGATATTCCCAGTCTGGCCAAATTATGAACTGCATTTTCACTGAGCATCACATTTCTAAATTTGAATATGGGCATCATAAAACCTCTAATGGAAACAAGCAAATTTCAAATAAATCACAGATCATGATAACCCTCTTCTGTTTCTTCGTTTTTAAATCTGAGTTCTATGTGTATTATTTTCATCTGTATGTTTAAAAAAAAAATTGAAGTGCTTTGTGATCCAGGTCTGTGAAAGACACTATACAAATTCACTTGACTTACTTACATACTTAATGATTGACCCGCCCTGAACTACGTAAATACGCATGGCTATGTTTTGCATCATTCAAAGCAATGCATTTTGCATTAGTTTTGTGCATAAAGCCCCATAAACGCACTGATGGTCTCACTCAAAACTGTCTCAGCCACTGCCCTGTCCGCATGTAGCAGAGAGAGGATGGCAACGCGCTTATCTGTAGGAACGGGCTCACAAGCAGTCGCTCTTTGGGCAGTGCGCAGCGGGTGCCACATAGGTCCCACCATAAAAAGTGTGCCGAGCGTCATTCAGATGTTTTGACTAGAGTTTCTCTGTGAAATCACTGACACTTTACAAAAGCTTAAGCATCCTTTCTCTCTCACAGACATCTTGAGGTGGTGTTTCCTGCATGTCTTAACTGAGATAGATATGTTGAATGCCTTGTCAAAAACATTTCATACAAGCAGAAGGCTAACAGTTGACCTTGACATCAACTAAGTTATAAAAGTAATAATCATGATAATGACACTATTATATATAATATTATATATATATATATATTATATATATTATATTATATATATACTACTATAAAAGGGAGACAGTAGCTCAGTTGGTAGAGCATTGGCCTTTAGGTGTGGAGGTCGTAGGTTCAATTCCCACCTCGACACCTTCACCTTTGCCTGAAGCCCCCGCTGAAAAATCAAGGCTATGCTCACACTTACAGAGCAGCCATCCTCCTGTGGACTCACCACCTGCAGAGTGGGCTGGTGCCATGTGACTTGGCTGGCATTTCTGACTGCCACCCCCCCCCCCCCCCCCCCCCCCCGACCCAGAAATGGATAAAGGGGTAGAAAATGGATGGATGGAAGGATGTACAAAAGGGAAATTGCAATCAATCACTCCAGCTTGGGTGATACAAATGGGTCATATTTCCTTTCAATGGGCCTCATTTATGAAGGAGGAGATGCCTGTACAGCCTACAATGAGTGACATCAAACAATTATTCCTGCAGATCAAGACTGAATTTAAAAAAACAGATATGCAACACTTCAGCGTTAAGCCTTCATTATTCAAAAATTCTCAAAAAAAAAAAAAGTGTTCTAAGTTGAAAAATATAGATTTTTAAAACATTAATTTGACATATATTCTTTATACATGTTTATCTATATACAGCAGCATGTATTTCCTTTGTTGATCATAGAACAAAAAAGATTAAAATATTAAATTGCATTTTAACCCAACATAGATTTTTCAGCAGGGTAAGATCTCTCTAACTCTCTGTTCTATTTCAGGAGTGTAGAACTGGTCCTCAAAGCGCCGGTGTGGCTGCACGTTTTAATTGTATTCTAACCAAGCAGGAACACCAAAGACTCCACTCATTTCCTCAAGTGAGTCCAGTTTTAACCTGGAGATTTGAGGAAATGGGTGAAATGCTGTGCTCCTTCTTGGTTGGAATTAAAATCTGCAGCCACACTCATGAACCAGATTAGACGGCTCTGGTTTATTTTACGGTCCCAAGAGCACTTGCCCCTCATGTAAATGCATCAAACATTATGTGCAGCACATACAGCTATGTGGTAATAAATAACTATAACATATTACAGAAACTATAACTAAAGATATATATATGTATTACCTGTGCCATTCCCTTAGTGATAACACAAAGAGTACATAAGTAAAAACATCTGAAGTTAGTCAGTCTAATCTGAAAAATCTAATTCTTGTTACGTGTAAAAATCAGCCGACCACAACCGCTGATACTGAAACTTTGAAACTTGCTATGCTAAATGTCAGATCTCTTTGTAACAAGTCTTTTTTAATCAATCATTTTATATGCTCTTATAATCTTGATCTTATGTTCATGGCTGAAACTTGGCTTGACCAAAATACAGGAAATGCAGTTTTAATAGAAGCATCACCACCAAATTAAAAATGTGAATGTGAAATACGGGAAAACAAAAAGGGGGGAGGCTTTGCTGCAATTAAAATACAACAAAAACAATCTCCTCCAATACTCTTCGTTGTCCTATACAAGCCGCCGCAGTCATGTCACAGTTTTATTGATAATTTTACCGAGTTGCTTTCAGTTGTATGCACAGATTGTGATAGTTTAGTTATTACAGGGCATTTTAATATTCACGTGGATAATGTTAATGACAGAAATGCAAAAGAGCGGAGTTCTTTACCCGATACCTTTGGTCTCACTCAGCACGTGAGTGGCCCCACCCACAGCAGAGGGCACACTCTAGACCTGTTAGTTACAAAGGAGGTGAATATTTCAAATGTGAACGTGGTCAATGTTGCTCTTTCGGATCATTTCTGTGTATTTTTTGACATGTGCTTCACTAACAAACCACCAGTGGACTCTGCAACTGTTCAAAGAAGACACATACAGTGCCTTGCAAAAGTATTCGGCCCCCTTGAACCTTTCAAAATTTTGCCACATTTCAGGCTTCAAACATAAAGATATAAAAATACATTTTTTGGTCAAGAATCAACAACAAGTGGGACACAATCGTGAAGTG